TCTGTTTAACTTTTAAAAGTTTTTTGCGGTATAATTACATTTAAGTAGCATTAAGAAGGTTCAAAAAGTTAAAAAAATACTTCATTGCCGGTTTAAGGCAAAAACTGTAACAGCAACTGAGATCGCAATTGTCGTTTTTCTAAAAAAAATAGTGATGTTAGATGTAAAACATCAAGAATTCTTTTATAAATTAAATTGTATGCTCAAAGAGTTAATGTGAAAGAAAAATGTAAGTGAAACCATTAAAACGACCCACTATGCCGTTCATTATAATTTGAGTAGTTACATAAGCACTTAGCAGAAACTATCGGTCACGTTTGTGCCCTTTATGGGTACTTGCATCGTTTATTATTAACAGTGGCCTGAATCAGTGGCAAATGTTAATTGCTTCTATGTCGTAAAATGGGAGCAAGTTAGTTATTCTGATCGGTCCAAGTGACCGCACGTTTGCGGCATCACAAAATTACTTTTATACGTGTGAATTACATACACACACACACACACACACGCATGCGCGCGCGCCCACACACACACACACACACACCCATGCGCGCGCGCCCACACACACACACACACACACACACACACACACACACACACACACACACAATGAGATGCCATAACACTATTTTCTTATTCTTACACTTATTATTTTCTACGTAACATGAGTGAGTGGTGTAACGAGTGAATCTACTGTCCCTTTATCATCGCTTGGGTGTACACAGGAGGTGACACTTTGAAACTGAAACAGGCCATAGTCAGCAGGATCTTTATTTAAACAGCTAAATAAGGATAATAAAATCTGCGCTTCCCAACTCGCCTGTCTAACGTAACAGCAATGGTAAATATCCCCCCAATTAGGCAACCTGTAATTGAAGCATATTTTTAGCGGTGGACTATTGAAGGGTTTTAATTAAATGAATGAATGAAGCTTGAGTCCTTTGAAATACATCAGGTCATAATAATATCATCTTTTAATTTTATTTCGGACAGTTTATTAAAAAATTAAATGTACATGAATTACATGATTTTTATTCCTCCCTCCCCCTTCCACTAACGAACCGTCAGAAACTCATCGGGTCTCCACTTCTTTGTTGTCGAAATGCGTGAAGCATTAGGACTAAACTGTTTCCTGCGTCGGTCGTAATGCATACAACCAAGGAATGGAATAGTTTGCCAGCATCTTTGTCTTCCAATCCGATCTGATCCGATTTGACAAACTAAGTCAATGCGCTTTGCCATCCTCAACTACATCATCACTTACCATCAGATAAAAAGTTAAGCACTGGCTTATAATAATTAAAAAAGTTTACAGATCATTGTTTGTCATTATAATTCATTAACCCTTTTTGTTTGACCTCTGATTGAAAGAGCAGGTCTCCATCTAATCCATGAGATTTGGCTTAGGCGTTTTTGGATAAAGGTTTTCCTTCTGTTGATTTTCATTCTCGTCCATTAGTCTGCAGTCCGTCCGCTAGTTGGTGCCCACATTTTTATGTTTTTTATATATACCTTTAATTGCTTACATTTTTATATACCTGTTTCTTTTTCGTAAAACTTTGGAAATGCATTAGCATTAAATATCAATTCAAATTCAAATTTGTAATAAACTATTAATAATTTTAATTATTCAAGATACGACTCTGTATAATATTTCTAGGACAATAGCTTTTGGGGTCTTTGGTACCCGGCTTGCATATAAAGTGCCTATTACATACCATGGGTATCTGCGAAGATTGAAATCAGGACATAATGAGTTTGTGTTCTTGCTTTAATGGTGTGTAAAATAATAAAATTCTCTATTTGTTTCTATTCTGAATTAGATGCGCATTCTGTTACTAAATTTAGTTAACAATAACTTTAGGTTGGGGACTCTCGTTGCCACGGGCGCTTAAAAACGTTGAGGAATTATAAATACGTCTAGGTGGTAAGACCGCCCTGTGTTCCAGCGCCGTATACGCCACTAAATAACAGCGCTCGCATTGTTGTGTTCCAGTCTGATAGGTCTGAAGTGTGGAAGTTAATATCATGATTACCGACTGTGCGGCATTCCATTTTAGTTCTCAGTGGTGACAACGCATGTGTAAGCTTTTTCGTATGAAGTTGGCTGCAGATGATCATGGTATACTGTAGCTAGTTAACTACAGTTTTATAAAAAAATTAGACTAAACTCGATAAAAGCGATATGATATGAAGATGTAAAGGTAATAAATGTTTTAAGCCTATTTATAAATAAAATAGCTCACGTCTCATTTTGGACATACATGAGACGAAATGGGGTGATGAAATATGCCTTAAAGTAGAACTATTTTTACGTGGTAGAGCCATGCTACAGCTATAGGAGTAGTATAGTTGTAGCACGAATGGGTCGGCTCGATCGAGGAAGGACCACGCTCTCACAGAATACCAGCGTAAAATAGCAGCTTAACACTGCTGTGTTTCGTATGGTAAGTGTAGAGAACCGGAGAACCATTTTACTGGAAAAGAGGCATTCCATCTTAGTTCTCACGGATGACAACGCATCTGCATTTCGATTCTTTAATGAGGATAGATGTGGATGTCTATGGGTCATAGCAACCATTTACCATCAGGTGGACTGTGTGCTCGTTTATCATCCGATCCTAAAAAAAAATTATTGAAAACTATAGTAGTCATATTTATTGAAGCAAACTAATAGTCACTAACGCTTACTTTTAACTATTTACTGGGTAAAGCCATGCTACAGTTATAATATAGCGTATGGCTCTAAAACAAATAGATCGGCTCAACCGGGAAAGAAACATACTCTCACAGAATACCAGTTTAGTTGAAATAGCAGTTTAAATCTGTTGCGTTTCGTTTGCGGAAGTGTAGAGATCTGGGGTTCGTTTTACTGACGAGGCATACCATTATAATTCACAGGGGTGACAACGCATCTTCCATTTACCATCAGGTGGACTTTGTACTCGTTTGTCACCCTTATTCTATAAAAAGCTTTTGGCTTAATTATAGCTTTAACTACAGAATAAATAATAGTTAAAAGAACAGAAGGATCACTCTCTGGTAGCAAACTTGTGAGTTTAAACTTAGTTACAAATGTTCATAATACTTTGCACGCCGCGGAAGTGATCTTCGTGAAGTTAGCCTACCGTTTATTTCATGGTAAAAAATTATGTGTTTATGTTTATATCAAAATGCACCTTACGCCCGCGTGCGAGTGTCTGTATCACTTAGCCTGTTACACGCCTTTGTTAAGACCGCTTCTACGGTAGGTTTAGGCGTTGTGAGAAAACAAATTGAATTCTTTGATATTAGTTGATAATAGAATACACCGAGGTGTTATGCAATGTATTAGTATTTCTTTTATATATTTTTAATTTTGTTAAAAAATCACAATGACGTGAGGCGTATAGTGTTGCCAGTAGGAGCTGCTATCATTCTCATTCTTTTTTTAAAACATGTTACACCCACACAAGGATTTTCTCGTGTATCATGGAGACAGTTAGCAAACATAAATTGCACAAGGACAAACATCTAGACCCGGAACAATTATTTGTAGGTCTAGCCGTCACTTGTCTGTTTTACATTTTTTGCTATTTACTTTTATTTTATTTTATTAATCACGTGTCGCATGTTTGTAACATTCATTAATAATAAAAAAGTGGCAATGAGAAGTGCTGCTACTTTCAATCTCTTTCTTCTATAGACCAGGTGTTATACTAATATCCAGTATGTATATGCTGAACTTGCATTATTAGGCAGTCACTAGTACTGGGAGGTCTACTTACAATGAACGAATTTTTAAGGTCATTGGCATTATACGCGAAAAAATCGAAAAATTAAATAATAAATCTGTAACTGTGGCGTCAGTAACTAAGTACCTAATTATCTAGATCTACCTATAAATAATAATATATTACCTTTCGGTATCCTTAGGCAGTAAATAATGAAAAGTCGACATTCCTGTTGTTATTTAAGCACCGGTATGCTATTCAGTACCTTTTGGCTTTTTGAGAGGCCATACTTGAATAAAAAAAGTGCCTAAATACTTATTAAAGAAAAATAATTTTTATGTTAACGTAGGCGTAAGGCACGCGTCAGCTCAAGCGCAAGCATGACAACCTCACGGAATTAGCCTCATGACGCCCGCGCAGCGTGGGTATATTTTCATGCCTAAAGCGCGGAGTGAGACAGGCCTGCTAGAACTAACAATAAATTATGCAGTTATTTTGTTTTAATGGTTAAAACAAAATACCAGAATGAATCCTATGTATATTTTTAGATAGAATGGAAAAACACGCGAAAACCTGTAATCAACCAACAAACTGGATATAAACATAGTTTAACGGTTATAAAATTTATAACAGATACATAAAATTAATAATATCAAAGATACAATACATCGTACGTGGGGTGAACTGAAAGTTTTTCGTAACTCATAAATAAAACAATATATGTAATCTAATTTGTTTACTGCCTTTCAAAGTATTCTCCAATACATTACGGTTATATTACATGCTTACTGATTTGGCTCGATTCGGGATTCGAACCATGGGCAACATGATTAGTAGTCGCTCACGACTACTAGATTAATAAGACAATCAATAATGAGTTGATTATTCATCCAAGATTTTCCAATAAAGTTACAGTGATCACCTTTTCGTTAATTATGAAGTTTTTTGAGAGATAGTAGCTTTCCTTTTTTATTTTATGTTATACCTACTAGTGAAAATGCAAACTGCCAAATTAATTAGCATGTTCTATGTTAACGGACGGTCCTCGTTTGTCAAATGAACCACTTCCGCTATGCTCTGGTGTTGAGTTTTTTTATTATTATTTAAAAACTTTTTTAGAAGGTACTGACTGTGACATAATTATGTAATCTTAGTCACTTTAGGCTGCAGTATCACTAACCCTTAGGTGAATTGTTAACTCTTTCGTTGTCGTTTGTGTTTGGAGTGAACTGAGTTTCATTAACTGATATCATTTTATTACAGAAAATATTCAATTGCCGTATAATCATGACGACAGACAACGCGCTTAATTCACAACGGTGAGTTTTTTTTTAAATTTAGTAATATTTCCTGCATGCCTTACCAGGTCATCACCCCATCCAATGGGGGGCTGGCGCCCACTTCGCCTACCGGAGGATGGAAGCAGGTCTTGAGCAGACCGTGTTTTGTGGTATTCTTTGGGGCAGGCCTATGTTTAGTAGTGGATTTGCGAAGGGCTGTAATGTATGAATAAATAGTAATACTTTACTCAAAGTTATTTATGCATTTACCGGTGGCTTAGAAAAAGCCTCTGCCCTGGGAAGAACAAGCACGAAACGCAGTGTGAACTTTTTTATTAGTATGTTGTTAAATTAAATAGAAAACATAAAAAAAAACATTAATAAAATGTAACAGAGCCTGTGCTTTTACTTTGAACTATATTTCTTTTGACAGGGTGTTCAAAAAATCGTCCCCAAACAATAAATTGACACTTTACTTAGCGTCGCGTGACTTAGTTGTAGAAAATGGTTCCATCGACAAAATTCAAGGAGTACTACACGTGGATCCTGAGTATCTTGAAAACAAAAAACTATTTGGACAAGCCACTTTAACTTTTAGGTAAGGTACATAATTTATTGAAACAAGTTTTCATGCTTTGTCTGTTTCCATATATTTTATTTTATAAAGAATCTACTTATAAATAATTATAAATATAATATATTGTAAATAATTATCTGGTACTGGTTACTGCCGCAGACGAAATAATTGTGGAATTATCGTTTTAAATTTGAATGAGTTATATTGTTTAATTAGGGATGATAACACATTCATTAAAGTTAAATGATATATAACTTTCAAATAGATTTGTCGGTATATGGTACCGCGCGCCACCTACTGTAAGTTATTTCAACTTTGGCTATAACCTTCGCGCAAGCAATAACTTGAAAAAGTTTTACCGCAATCTGATGAACGGTATGACAACGTATAATAAACGAACAAACAAAAATTATTTTTATATATGAGATACATTATATATATGAAATGACTTAACTTAAAATATTTTAACTTTCATACAGGGGAGAACAAGGATTATAAAACAGAATATTTTTGTCTTTTCTCAATAATTAAAGATCTTATTTAATTTATAATATTTTGTATAAATTAATTAAGGAATATTTTGTGATTTTAATTTGTCGATAAGATATGGCCGAGAAGACGAAGAGGTAATGGGACTAAAGTTTTGCAATGAAGCCATAATGAGTCTGGCACAGATTTGGCCCGTGAATTGCAATCACGAAAGAGAACCTAACACGCCATTGCAGGTAAAGTAGAAGCTAATATTCTTGAAAACGTTTTTCTTTTAAGAAGTGGAAAGGTTAAGCCACGTATCAACCAAAAATGTTGACAATATTTATGTTTCCAACTGTTTACAACTCAACAAAAGTTACCAAAATTTGATTCCGATGTTGCCGACAAATGTTTCCAACAAGCATCTCCACCGAAGGAACAAATTTTTTGCAACAAGCGTATTCCTTTGATGTTGCCGCCAAAAATGGAAACACGGTTCCCGACATTGTTTCAAGGTTTGTTTCCAACACTAGGTAATTATAGAAAAATTTGTTACCAACACGTGTTGGCAACACAAAAGTTGGTAATAAAACTTTGGTGGAGACGCGGCTTTATGGCTACCTCAGCACATGGACATCTGCAACCAACTTCAAATAAAGAAGGCTATTGATCTGCTGTCACCTCTGATGATCAAGATAGAATGCCTCATAGTTTGTAATTACATTAGTTCTCTATAATCTTTAGACCTTTTTTTTTATTATTTAAAAAGAAACCTTACCACCATACTAGGATTTTCTCCTGTATCGTGGAGGCAGTTTACAAAGAGAAATTGCACGAGGACAAATATCCAGACCCGGAACAATTATTTGTAGGCCATACAACTACTGTATGGCCTACAAATAATTGTTCCGTGCGTGATTTGAACTCGCGGCCCCCAGCGCAACAACTCTTGCTAAGCCACTGCGCCACAGAGCCGTCAACAAGAGCTGAGCACAGCAGCGCAAGCATTGCTTTGCCACATTATCTAGCATATTGAGCATATGTTATTGTTTACACACATTTACACAAAACTGTAATGAAAATTATTTGCACTAATTATTACAAACATTTGTCAAAATAACTGGTAAGGATATGTATTAATGCGTAAAATACACATTTTGAATACTCGTACATGTATGTACACGTCAACACTACCGGGAATACACGTGTGAAGTATGTACTACAGACATCAAAAACTAATACCATTTGATTAACTGTATTTTTCTCTGTCGCTCTTACTTATGTTAAAAATAAGCAAAAACCTCGTAAACAGCTAAGTGCATTGAATATAATTTTCAGGATGCCTTAATAAAGCGATTGGGATCACATGCGTTTCCATTTCATTTGGAAATAACGCCCTTAGCCCCACCGAGTGTGCAGCTGGTGCCTGCCAAACAGTATCACGGAGCACCCATTGGAACATCTTATGATGTGCGTGCATACATTGGTAAATATTGTTTTATGAAAAGAAAATCTATTATAACTACTATACAGTCCTACTCATAGTTTGATAGTGCCAAGAATGCAAGATTTCACTTAGCAAAGCATGTGACAAATTAATTTTAAATCCGGCAAATTGTTTTTTTTTCAAGAAAAGGATAGGAGCAACGTAATTACAATTACTAATACGCCCGTTAACTACTCCAAGTTAGTTTAAAATATGTTAGGAGTGATCCACTATAGTAGTAATATTCCGGATTCGAAAACACGACTTTCCGAGTGTACAGTCCGTCCCTATAATCATAATGCTGCTGTCGTTTGTTGAATCGAGTATTTCCTCTACATTCGGAGTAGCTCGTTCGACTTGCCATATCAAACGTACGCAGTGTTGCCAACTCAATTTTTTTAAAATCCCTAGATTGGTATAAAAAATATTCTAAATTGGTATTTTTTACAATATCCGTAGGTCTACAGAATTTTAAATAGGATCGAAATTTTTTGTTTTTGTCATAGAATAGATCAATTTTTGGAGAAATTCTTACTGTCATGTAAAATTCTTGTTGTAAGTTCAATGGTAGTGTAACATCGAATCAAGCTGCACATATAAGATAAAAGAACCATAAAATTTCATTAATAATTTTTTTTTTACTTTTAATTAATTTATTTTTAGTAAATAACAAATAAAACGATGAATATTTTAATATTTGATAGTTATACTAAACAAATTACGTTACGAACTTGAGGCTGTAAAATTATGAATCAATAATGAGACCAACGAAAAACAATGGACCATCTTGACTAAAATTAACATTTAATTTTTTTCTGATTTCTGATAGTTCATTTGATAAATTACGGTGTTCCAGACTTGGGTAATTTATGTAACAGTGAAAAACTATACAAATTACAACTTTTGAGAAATTCAAAAAAAAGATCAAAGATTTTCTTTTATAATTGGAAAAATAAGTGGGACAGCATAGATTAGAAAAACTTGAGACAATTGACAATTCAATCATCTATGAAAGTTTTATAAGCGTTTATATTAACTGCCTATTTTCTAAGAAGTATTCGAAATCCGAAATAAATGTAATTTAATGCAAAACATCTCAAAAAGTAAAGTTACAGTATATATACGTCCCACTGCTGTGCACAGACTTCCCCTCATATTGAGGGGGTTTTGGGGCAAGGAAATACCCGCCGCGCTGCCCCAATACGTGTTGGCAAACTTCTAATGTCAGCGAATTTTTTTTTCTAATTTCTCATACATGACGTTTTCCTCACGATGTTTTCCTTCATCGCCGAGTACGTTGTAAATCAGCACTTAAAATTGCAATTAACAATTTCATTGGTGCCGGTGGGAATCGTACCCGGGTTGCCGGGTGAAATTTACAACGAGCGCTAACCATCTGAGCGACTACGGCTCTGCAAAAAATATCTACGCTGTTGAAAAATTAGATATTTATAAGCAAAAATGTTTTGTTTTGTTCACAAACATGATAAAAAATGTTTTTCTTGTAAAGTTTTTGAAAATTCCGTAGATTTTAATCTCAAATTCCAAAGGTCCGTAGATGATGACAAAATTCCTTAGATCTACGGAAAAGATTGTAAAGTTGGCAACGCTGGACGTACGTCATGATTAGTTTGCACCATACGTGATGCTAATTAACTTTTCGAATCTTCGAGTTAGGATTCGTTTCAAAAATTTTTGATATTCCATATGTCATTGATTCAAGAAAGTCATGAGTCGTCTCATCGTAATAAGAAACAGTCTTGATATAGTTCCTGGTTCCTACCGAAATTGAAGCTAACAGTTTTCAAACATGACAACTATTTCCAACGTCTGTCCATTATATATTTTTATCTGGTAAATTTATGCGCAAGCACATACTTATTAGCTTGCAACCCTAAATTCAAAGATAGAATATTTATCTTGTAATTATTCTAACTCTAAGTGGAGCTATAATACAACAGAGTATAAATTGCATGAATGCATGCAATTTACAACAGTGCTACGTTGCTGTTTATCGACAGAAATCAGTTAAATGATAGTACCTACACCTTCCTGATGGACCTAGAAAAGGTACTTTCCCAAATATTATTTGTAATAGTTTTCCATGATGCAATATTATTCATATTATTTTTTTTCTATTTTGTTTAAACTCTAACATTTTAGGAAAAAAATTGCATTGTTTATTATGTCCACCCTGTTTGTAGCTGAACGAGCTGAGGAGAAGGTATCTCGACGTAACATAGTCCGTATGGGAATTAGAGTGTTGCAAGGTCCAGGACGGCCAATACCTGCGGCAGTGCTACCACATACTACACACTCACCGCATACTCTTAGCGCGTTAGCTCATCATAATGTACTCAGGTGAATTATCAATTTTTAAAACAATTTTATATGTATATAATTTAATTTACCCATATGTAACATTTTTTTATAAATCGTATTTTGTACTTTAGATATATTTTCTTTACTGAACGCACGACATGTGTACGTATTTAACGACAAATAGTATTTGAAACAAATCACGTACCCAGATCATTGTTTAAAAAAAATTGTCAGAATAATTCTAACACACGCCGGAAGGCACTCTGCGCAAAGATTTTGTACTAGACCCCGCAGATAAAGAATTTTTTTTTTTTTTATAGGATAAGGGTTACAAACGAGCGCACAGTCCACCTGATGGTAAGTGGCTGCTGCGGCCCATAGACATCTACATCTATCTTCTATTACAAATCAAAATGTAGATGCGTTGTCACCCGTGAGGACTAAGATGGAATGCCTCATTTCCAGTAAAAAGGGCCTCCGGCCACCTGCACTCACCAAGCGAAACGCAGAGGCAAACCTCTACTTCACGCTGGTTTTCTGTGAGGTCGTGGTACCACCCCGGCTCGAGCCGGCCCATCCGTGCGACAGCAAAAGCTGCCGCGTGGCTCTACCACTGTTAGAAAATTTAACGCTCGCTGGATTCGTGCCGTATGTCAGAAATATATTACCAAAAGTGAAAAAATATCCTTGCTTATAGAATATTGGAGATAAATAGGATTGAACATTATAAATAGTAACGAGATTATTCGTTTCACAGACTCAAAAATAAGACGAAACTAGATTCTGATGAAAACTCTCGAGGGAGAAAAAACGAAATCGGTATGCTTTTATCTGAATATTGCTTTGATGTTAACTTTATTGCTTAGTTTTGGTAATTTTAATTTTATTTTCACTATGTAGTACTTTATATTATCTAGATATCCCTTCAGTTATTTATTAATATTTATAAAATCTCACGCATTAAATAATGGTAATTAAGGCTAGTTTAAGAATTTATCTTTGTTCTGAATAATATTCATAAAATAATTCGAAGCTTTATTTGTGTTTACAGAAAACTTAGAACCGGCACCGCCCCGAGTGATGGTTGAAAAGCCATTTTTGCTTTCTGACGGCAGGTAAGCTTAGGATTCTTAACTACTTTTAAAATATTGTTTATGATTTGAAAATATTAATAACATGGTAATAGTTTCGTACCACAAATATTGAATTATTCAATATTTGAATGTTAAACATTTTAATATCGAAATTTCGATGCCAAAATATATATACACACCATGAAATGCCTGTCGACCAAGTAACACATATATCACTATTACAGCGCATGATATTATGTTACAATTAAATTTATTACTATCGTAAGTCTGCTGTAAGTTATGTATGTATATACTTATTTAACATTATAATTATTTTCATTAACAGGGTAGAGCTAGAGGGCTGGTTAGATAAAGCAACTTACTCTCACGGTGAATCCGTTAACGTAAGCATCGTTGTAGGGAATCACTCGTCTAAGACTGTGAGGCGAATAAAGGTAGGTCATAAAATAAATGTTTTGGAATGAATTTGCTTATTTGACAGTACGAATTTGGCGGATGGAGGCTAAAGTAAGATTTTGTGAATTAGTGTAGAAGGCCTGGGCGGTTATAAGGAAGCGAGATGGAATAATATCCATCTCCCTCACACTTTTTCTTACCTTGACATGAAATAAATATTATTTGTTTTAAATGACGCTAATAATATAATACGTTTATCAATAATAGTATATTACGAAAGTAACTTCGTGGAACACTCGGTTGGACCGAGTGTTCCACGACACTCAAGCATGTTTTTTATCTTTTTGAGTATTAGATAAAATAATTTATTAAATACCTACTATTTATTTTTAGGTCCTGGTTATTCAGCATGTAGACGTCTGCATGTTTTCAAATGGCAAGTTCAAGAATGTAGTAGCATTGGTCCGTGGAACGGGTACGCCAGTCATGCCTGGTCAAACACTAACTGACACATATACTTTAACACCTAACAGGGGTATGTATTATAAATATAATATTTACTTATACTGGTGCTTATTCATGTGCATGAATTTATTCGTAAATATAATATAATCATTCCACTTGGTTGTTTGCAGGTGTCACCAAAAACTGGATAGCACTCGAAGATTCATATTCCAAAACAGGTGCAAGCCTTGCTTCTACAGTTTTGTGCAATTTAAACACACCCGAAGATCGAAACGTATTTGCAATTTATGTTTCATACTACGTAAAAGTAAAATTGACTCTAAGCGCCATGGGTGGTGAATTATCTTTGAAACTTCCATTCACTTTGACACATTCATGTATTAATGAAGCTCCAACAGATAGTGTAATAGAAGAAGCTACGCACAAAATGATTTTGGAAGGTAAGGAAAATAGTGAGGAAGAAGATAGCAAAGCTGAAATAGAAAAAGATAAGCAAAATAATAATGAAAAGGAAGACATAAAACAAGAGACGGCATTTGGTGACGACGCAGAAATTAAATCACCGGATGACCATAAATGTGTCGCTGATGTTTTAGTAAACATAGAGAACAAAATAAATGATAGACCAAAAAAGTTTGAGGGACAAACCGAAGTACGCAACGTTAAACCAAATGAGGAGGAATTGGATTTGATTGTTAAGTATCCATGTTCAGACACGTGATCCGACGAGAAACTTGATAATATCAAACAAGATAAGAAGACTGATCAGTCGAACGAAGTCAATATAACAGAAATTTTAAGAGAATGTAAAAATGAGGTCCAAATGCATAAAACAGGTTTTGCTGAAAACCTAAAAAGAGCTGTTTGCTGTATCGACCGAAGGCGGCAGTCATAGTTTTAATTGATGTATATTATTTTTAGATATTGTAAAGTTTAATTTACTTTTCACGTAGGAAATCTTATTTTGCTTTGTGACTTAATTATGAATGTGTAATTTTAAAATTAAAATGTACGTACATCACACATAAATATAAAATATTATTTCTTTTAAAATGGTTTTCATAATATAACTATTTAAATAAATCTTTAGTTTTTTTTTAGTAATTTTTACCAAATAAAAATTAATTTCAAAATATGACAGACTAAACTAGACAGAATATTGAATCGTAATGTAAATCATTATTATGTATTAATTAATGTACATTTACACATTTACAGGGAGAACTTGAATTTGAAATACTACATGGCTTTTCATCAATTTTTGTGCTTTTAAGTCACTTTGAATTTTGATTAATTAATCCAAATAATTAGTAATTGAAAAAAAAAAACAATTTTGTTGTAAAAAGCAACCATGTTGGATATTTTTTAAATCGATTTTATAACTATGGGGTTCACAGGACTCTTTGGCCACCTATCAAAGGCATAACATACTTTATAGAAATTATGGTATTTCTTTATCTCCACTTCCTTTGACATGACGTCTCTGCTTACCACTTTGAAGTAAATGTAAATGTATATTAAAATATTTTGGGAATTGCATTTTAACGCAAATTTTATAAGACTTTCTATAAAGTCTGTGTATTTTTCTACTCAAAATCTGCTAAACATCAAGATGATTTACTCAACGTCTGAATTACGATTTTTAATTCTAGTCATTAGGTTTCTTATCGTAGTCCTATATTTGGTGTAATTTATCGTTTTAAGACTTACTGGTTACTGCATTTGCGGTGACGTAATATTATGAAGCCTGAATGGTTACGCTTACTAAATTATAATCGATGTTAGAAATTAGCCTTAAATGTTTCAGTAATTTAACTAAGTTTTAGTAATAATTCGATGTAAATGAAATATTTTATTGAGAACACATTATTGACATAATCTAGTTATTACGTTAACCTTTTTCTGTAATTAAGTTATCATCATCACGTCATTTATTTGTAAAGATACTGCAGCCATATAAACATCATCCCTGAATTTTTTAATTATTTTTATTTATTTATTGTTTCTACCAGTGATTTTAAATACACACGTTACATACATTTCTTAAAGTATAATTACTATATAACTTGCACAGAGTATGTATGATATGCTGTAATTTTCTTCCATCTAGTAGTCGTGTAAAGGAATTTTCCCTCACATGTGTTCCTGCTACAAGAATGTATTGTCACTTTTTACCTGAAATATACATACGGGCTTTATGTTTATATGTTTCATCTATGCATACCGTTTAGTGATTGTAGCGCCAAAAATTTATCATCTGGTTTGTATTGTGGCTAATGTATAGTAAAAATAAACCAAGAAACTATTTAGAAAATTTTTATAATTAGATTAACCATTTTAAAAATTGCTGCAAATAAGAGAGAGAGTGTATTATCGGCATTTGCTATCAGAATAGTAACAACCCATGTTGTATACATATGTATATATGCATACATGTTTTTCATTATACGTTCATCAGTAAAACTTCACGAGCAAATAAGGAAATAATGAAAAAGAGTGCCATGTGGGAGTGCGTGTCAAGAAGTTGAACATGGTTTCGTTGGCGTCACTTGAAATTTCCATTGCTTTATGTCTATATTTTTTTATTTTATTGGTTTAAGTTGGTGATTTCTAACCACAAAATATTATAATCTGTTAAGAAGATCTAGAACGTAATACAGCATGACGTGCATTAAGTAAATGTCTTTGCTGCATGAACGACGTTCATTGCTTTAGCTAATGTTATGAGGTTCAGGCTATATCATCAATTATTTTATCTTTTTTATTTTTTAGAATAACCTGCATGACAGTGAAGAGGTCTTTGAATCATCGTGGAAATATTGTTTCTCTACATTTTAAGTAAAAATTTCAAAGTCAGATTTATTTTTCTTGTACTTTATCTTCGCAGCAAAAAATGAAAGTTTCTTTAAATAAATATTTCTCTTGTGTTTGTTCATTTATGTTTTCCTTTTTGCATTCCACTAAGCTATTACATAATATTTCAATCCGAAAATAATCAGTTGTAGCTATCAGGATGAAAAAATAATAGATTATCAATAAACCACCAGTACGAGGCTTGCATGTCATTCGCATTATTGAAAGATTATACATGCATGAAAACGAGTAATTTAGTCATTTCGCATTGCCGTTTCGGACCCGCTTTTACCACTTATAGTTTGACATCTAATTGTTTATAGACTAAGGTCGGCCACATACATACGGAATGCCGTTTCGGGATTCCGTTTCGGAATTTCAAGAGGATCGGCCACACACATACGGAATTCCGTATGTATGTGGCCGGCCTAAAACATCAAGATATAATATTAATCACATTCATAACTACTCAATTTACACGGGATGATATTGTAGACTATTACGCCGATATTTCACGGCTTACATTGTTATTACCAAATATTAAATTATTACTTGTTCTGTATGCTGTTGTATATAATTATATCAATTATTATAGTACGTAAATATAAATTTTAAATGTTATCTGTTCCTGTGAATATAATATGTACTGCTAATACTAAAATTACATTTTTGCTTTAAAGAAAAACAAAATTTTGTTAATTATAATAATCTATTTAGAAAAATAAAAAGCAACCGTTAAAATTTATAATACTCTTTTCTTCAAATGACTGGACTAGAAACGTAATAACGTTATTAATAGTTGGTGATTTTTTTTAAAATAACGACAGTGTTTTAATTAAAGACCGCGCCGTTATGTAACTTACAGATAATATGTTTTAATAATGTGTTGTAATAAATGCAGTATGTATTGAAGAAAAACTTATTGTTTCTATCAATATTCTTAATATAATCAGGCACGCTTTTTTATATCAATCAATACTGTAACAATTTAGAAATACGTTTCCTGCGTTGTAAATAAATGTAAATAAATTTAAAAATAAATTGTGGTTTTATTTGTATATATGCACTATTTATAAAAAAAATTAGCCGGCTCGGCTTCTTAAAAGTTTGCGGGGCTGAGAGCCGCCTACTCAATTGCCTCTCGGGACGTATGTCTATAAATAATTACTGTTCCGGCTCTGGATGTTTATCCATGTGCAATTAATTCATCCATACAAATAAATAAAATTGAAGTGTCTGTTTGTAATGTCGAAATAACAGCTTTTTACTATAAGCATATGAAAGTATATACGGTACTTATAACAAAACATGATTTTTAAAATTTTTGTCTGTCTGTCTTTCTGTCTGTCTGTTTGTTACGGCTGATCTCCGAAATGGCTGGACCGATTTTATTAACTTAAGCTATTTTTATTTTAGGAAAAGAATTAGGGTTCCGCGGAAAAATTAAAACCCATGAAATCCAATCGTTTTTTTTTATAGGATAAGGGTGACAAACGAACACACAGTCCACCTGATGGTAAGTGGTTGCTGTGGCCCATGGATCTATCCTCGTTTGCGAATCAAAATGCAGATGCGTTGTCAACCGTGAGGACTAAGATGCCTCTTTTCCAGTAAAAAGGGCCTCCGGCCACCTGCACTCACCAAGCGAAACGCAGCAGTGTTAAGCTGCTATTTGACGCTGGTATTCTGTGAGAGCGTGGTCCTTCCCGGTCGAGCCGACCCATTCGTGCTACAACTATACTACTTATATAGCTGCAGCATGGCTCTACCACGTACAAAAAATAAAACATATTTTATTAAAAACAAAACAAAATATCTAAAGCTTTTTTTTGTTAATCATTTTTAATGTTGCCGATTAAATTTTAATTTCTTGTTTGAAATTCTTGAAGTTAGATAGTTTTGAACTATATAACGTTAGATCATAAAAGGGACTAAACCTCTACTACACGCTGGTATTCTTTGAGGTCGTGGTACCACCCCGGTTCGAGCCGGCCCATCCGTGCGACAGCAAAAGCTGCCGCGTGGCTCTACTACTGTTTAGTCAAGTCGTAATAAATTACGCGCGGGCGAAGTCGCGGGGAACAGCTAGTTTATAAATAAAGATCTCAACGACCACAGTGGAGAATCCTTGTGTTAACCTTTATTTTGAAGGGTATTTTTTTAAAATAACTTAAACTTAAACCTTTTGTAGAGAGGATTTGCCATAATCTGTTCGCTCGGCAGGCTAATTGACGATCGCAATACAAGACTTCTCGCATCCTTGACGCGGCTCTCGGTCGCTGCTATGAGTATATAACGTCTGACGTAAACGAGATGATTCTACTAATATTCATCGGAAGTAGGAAACATGTGACTTTCCTAGAATTTCCCATAGTCGTCTCTCTCACAACAACCATGGCAAGAAGTTCACTCTATTTTTGTTATTGTACAAACATTTATACATAAACAGGTTACACACTCAATCATAAAAAGTGGTAGTACCGGACTTAAACATCAAAGAAGCCCCCGGTAGAAATCCGTTTTTGCCTCCTGCGCTTACTACTATGAGTCTGTTTCCTGAACTAGTATCTGTGAGATTTCCTTTTGATCCAGTCATTTGCCAAAACTTTTTGAGTGTTAAATTATTGTCCACCCACGTTTCTTCTAAATAAAAAAATATCTCTGTTGTATTGTCGGAATTGTCTAATTTTCTTTAAATATTGATAACGTTTGATCAATATATCTGGTTTTTCAATTAAAACAGGTCGTTAGGTTTGACACTGACGCCAAATGTACCCCTTATTTTTCAAAAGCATGTGTGGTAGCTGTCACACGTGCTTGCATTCGCGACGACAGCCGCGCCACAAGCGAAACACATCGAAGCCTAAA